TATTACAGTTCCTTAAAGTCAGATTGCTGTTGGTGCGAAGGTCAACAGGAGGAGATTTATACATTTTTGTGGGGGGGGGGTGTTGTGTTTGCTGCGAAGGCAGACTCACAATCTTGGCCTTCGAGTTCCAGCGATGTTTCTGCCAAGGGCATGGACAGGAAAGGTGGGGAGGCCTCTCTCTCAGGACCCAAGAGGTTGGCTCTCGCTAGGATGCCCCAACCAGCAACTTGGAGGAACTTTCTTTTTTCAATTTACGGCTTGTTGTAGCTTGGACAGGAAAGGGAAGTGAGTCACGAAAGCACGGGGAAATTAGGGCAGAGGGAGAAGAACGGGCACCACCGATGGGGCCTCAGTAACTGAAGAACCGTCTCATGCTCTGTTCTGGGGGATCCTGGATCCCCATGCCCATAATCCTGACCCGGTGAGAACCGCTGGGTTGTTTTCTGATGGGACGGGGCTATTGTTCTCCACACATCCTGTGTTTCTTTCAACTGTAGCCTTTAGAAACAATGAGGTTTCCTGTCTATCCCCCAGGCTGGGATGCTTGGACAATGCAGGCTCCATCCAGAGTCAAGCTAGGGGAAAGAAGCCATCTTTTCCCCCCTCCTTTAGTTTGCAAAAGCTCCTTTGGCAGAGACACGGAAGCGGAGCGGCCACGGCTGATTGTATCTCTGGCACGGAGTAAACCTGAGCGGGAGACGGCATGTCCCACGTGGAGAAAGTCTCCTTGCTTAAAAGATGATGAGGGTTCTGCTTCTGCTCGGTGGGACATCCATTGCTCTTCCAAGCAGGGTTAGAAGATCTACAGAAGATGGGTGTTGTAGGAGAATGAGTGGCAGGAGCTGGGGGCGGAGTTAAAAGAGGAATCAGCCTAGAATCCTTAAGTAGTCACAAGTGAACTAAGTCCAGCCACCTTGAGTGCCGCTGACGCCTAATTCCAAGCAGGTGTCTACTGTTAGTCGAGAAGATTCCTGCGCATAGGCTTTTAGCAATAAAGCAGTTTAGTTGAATCGTCATCTGGGTCTGGTCTTCAGTGTCTGACAGATGGCCTGTTGACCAAAGGTTGACTCTGATGTAGCATCTTGGCACACAGGTGGAGAATAACAGAATAGCAGAGTTGGAAGGGACCTTGGAGGTCTTCTAGTCCAACCCCTTGCCCAAATGGTTGTCTAATCTCTTCTTAAAATCCTCCAGTGACGGAGCACCCACAACGTCTGGAGGCAGGTCCAGATTACCACCATCATGCATATCCTCAAAAGGAGAGGTTTCTGGGCAGTTTCCTGATTTCAACAACTTTATAACAGTTTCTGGGGAGGGAGGCCCAGTTTTCTGGAGACCTCTCGCCAAGACTGGGCTTCTCCTGCTTCCGAGAAGAGGCGTTGGCTTGATTCTTGGCATCTTCTGGATAAGCAGCCTGGGTATTAATCAAATAAAAATATAATGGTCTCCCTTTGGGCTATTTTTAGCAGGCTGCGGATGAGCAAAAGGCTATTTTTGGGTGCGTAGTTGCTAGCGACGGCAGGCCTGATCTAATCTAGTAAATATGATGGGTTTTCCCCCCCACCCCTTCCTTTCCTTTTTTTTATGAAATTCCCATTAACAAGGGTTTCTAGCAGAATCTGGCCTTTCCTTATTAGCAGGCCGGCCACGATTCCAATGAAGTCTTGTTCCTCTCTTTGTACTTAAGCCCCGTTGCTTTGAAAAACTCAGAAGATGGTTGAACCATTGAGTAGGTCTACCGGATTCAGATGCAAAACTCCAGATGACCACAAGGGGAGCCAAGGAGCTTGGTTGCCTTCTGGACTTTTGTAGCCAGGGGCCAGCGTCTTGCTAAGGCCTTAACCTAACTCTTCATGGCTTAACCTACCTGGCAAAAAAGCAAAAAGCATCAGCCAGGCCTTTATCGACACGCATGCACCCTTTTTATAAAAAAAAAAAAAGTTTTGTTTTCTTGATACCCGGGCTGCTTCTTCTGCAGGATGCCAGGGATCAGCCGGAGGCACATAAGTTGGCATGGTGTGCAACTGTTTGCAGCAAGAGGGGTGAAGAAATTTGTTCTGGACACCTGGTGCGAGTTTGCGGAGTTTGTTGTTTCTTCAAACATGCAAACCGTAATGCAGTTTTATGGTTTATTTAAAGATGGTGCAGCAGGATTATCTCAGTTTGTAGGACCATAAACTTTTCTGTGTTGCTTTTCTTACACATACTTATGTGGGTTTTTTTTTTT